CAACGGGTGTGTGCTCATTGTGCTTGAATCTTCGATGCTTCATTTCGATTCAATAAAGTATACTCTTTAACAACATAAAAACTACTCCCTCTATTTCTATATACAAGGCCACAAACTCAAATTACAGGTATCAAGATAAAAATAAATATGTGCTTTACAAACTCAAATTACAGGTATCAAGATAAAAATAAATATACATTAGAGGAAATTGAGTGGCCGTGAAAGAGGAAGTGGGTGAGTTTGTCATTATCATCCACTACATGCATGCTAGTAATTAAGCCATGGGTTACTACTACGAGGAAACATCATTAATATTTACCTCGATTACTGTTGGTGGCCTTGTATAGATGTAAAATGTGTTTTTCATAGTGGCTTTGTATACAAAAATGGAGGGAGTATAAGCAATTTGTTTGTTCCGCAATTTAAATGTGTTGGTGGATATGATGAGTGAAGTGTAAAGTACAAAATCGATATAATTTGGCTTTTCTGAATGTCAGATATGTGAATATAAACAGATGTGAGTGTGACATGTACTGGTAGTTATGTATTACATGCAACATCCTTTGTGTAAATTAAACCATTTTTTCTCGTCTGTGTTTTTTTAGATGTTTCAATAGTAGGTAGAGGCAGAGAGATGGATCCCAGTAGCAGTGTTTCTCTGGGTGCCATGAGACCCCTTCTTAAGAAGCTTGACATGATGCTAGGTCCTAATGGATGCAAGCTGACCAAGGGGGTCAATGATATGTCGCACCTCCTCAAAGATGATCTTGAAGAAATAGGCGCATGCCTTGAAGATCTGTTAGAGGTGGAGGACCCTCCCCTGGCGGCCAAGTGCTGGATGAAAGAAGCACGGGAGTTATCTTATGACATCCAAGATTGCATTGACAACTTTGTGCCCCCTGAGTCTCTTGGCTACAAATCTGACCACAAGATGACTCATGTTAAGATTCCCAAGAGACTCAAGTGGCAGAAACAGATTGGATATGCAGCTCCTGATGTGTCAGGACATGTTATCTTCAAAAGCATTCGTGTTGATGTCATTCGTGCTCCCAGGAAGCTCAAGTGGTACCAGCAGATGGTTGAAAAGGTATCAGAATTCAGGATCTATGCCCGGGAGGCGATCCGACGGTACGAGAGGTACCAGCTCCATTGTTGTAGGACCTCGGCGGCACGTAGATTTTCAGCCATTGGGCCTATAATGCCAATGCCGCCACTGCCTTGTGAGAAAACTTGTTCCGGCCTAGTAATTGATGGTCGGATGAGCAAGTTTATTAACTCTCTGGCTAACGACACGGATCAGCAGCTCAAGGTGGTGTCTATTCATGGATTTCGATGTCTTGGTAAAACAATGCTTGCCAAAGTGTTGTACAATAAAATTGGGAGGAAATTCCATTGTCGGGCTTTCGTCCGGGTGTCCAAAAAGCCTGATATGAAAAGGCTTTTCCACGACATGCTATCACAATTCCAGCGGAAGCAGCCCCAAGCAAGCCAAGACGCTTCTGATGAACTTCACATTACTGCTGAAAATATCGGCAATTGTCTACATGGCAAAAGGTACTTTATTTCCCACATCCAAATAGTATGTACTAGTTGTATGCATCAGTGTATCAGGAATTGTCTACAGGTTGTATACATCAGTATGTACTAGCTGTACTATATCAGGAATCACTGTATATTATATTATTTCCCTACAGGTTGCTCTTTACGTTTTTCACAAAAATAAGTCAGTTTCTGAAAGGATGTTTTTCAGACTAGCTTTACGGTATTCTAGAAAACCTCGATTCAGTAAGCTAGAAAAGCTTCAGTGAGCCTGTCGATTCAATGGCCATTAGTTTAACTCTTCAAGTTAACTACTGGTTGATACATAACTTCAGGTTGTTACTGTTAGCCTGACACATAAATGTGACATGCGTGCATTCTTGACATGCAGGTATCTAGTTGTTGTTGATGATTTGTGGGATACATCAGCATGGGATGTTATTAATCGGCTTTTTCCCAAGGGTAGTCAAGGCAGCAGAATAATAACAACTACACAGATTGAAGATGTTGCATTAGCATGTTGCAGCGATGACACAGAACAAGTTTTTGAGATGAATCCTTTGGATGATGATCACTCAAGGAAGCTATTCTTTGACAGGCTTTTTGGTTGTGAAAGTAACTGTCCTGAAGAATTGAAACAAGTTTCAAGCCAAATTGTAGAAATATGTGGTGGTTTGCCGCTAGCGACCATCAGCATAGCAAGTCTTTTAGCAAACCAGCCTGCTGTATCAGTGGGTTTATTGACACATATACATGATTCGTTAGTGTCTTTTTTGTCATCAAATTCAACTTCAGAAAGAACGAGACAAGTATTGAACCTCAGCTACAACAACCTTCCTCATTACCTCAAGACATGCCTGCTCCAACTTGGTATGTATCCAGAGGGCTCCATAATCTTCAAACAAGACCTGGTCAGGCAATGGGTGGCTGAAGGGTTTCTTGCTGCAAGTGAAGGGCAAAATATGGAAGAAATTGCTGGAATGTATTTCAATGAACTTGTTGATAGAAGATTCATCCAACCTGTGTCTATCAACTTCAACAATGAGGTGGTGTCCTGCACAGTTCATGCCCTGGTGCATGATCTTATTGCCCACAAGTCTGCTGAAGAGAATTTCGTTGTGGTAGTAGACCACAATCGAAAGAATTTGGCACTTTCTCATAAGGTCCGTCGACTGTCTCTCCAACTTGGTGATGCAAAATATGACAAGATACCAGCAAACATCAGAAAGTCACAAGTACGGTCACTTGGGTTTTTTGGACTATCAGAGTGTATGCCTTGCATTGGAGAGTTCAAGCTTGTTCTTGTTCTGAACCTTCATCTATCTGGCCATCATAATGGCGACCAAGACCTGTCCATAGACCTCTCTAGAGTATCAGAACTGTTCCATCTGAGATATCTCAAGATTGCTTGTGATGTCTGCATAAAACTTCCAAACCGTATGAGAGGGCTGCAGTGTTTGGAAACATTGGATGTTATGGATACACCAAGAGGCACTTATGTTCCATGGGACATTATATATCTCACACGCTTGTTGCACCTCAGTCTTCCTCCTGACACAAATTTGCTGGATTGGTTTGTCAGTGATGATATGAGCCTTTGCAAGCCGAACCACCTGCAGGATCTTTGCATTTCTACACCGCCTTCTTCAGATTCCGACCATCTGGATAGAAGCATGTATGCTCTGGATTATTTAATGAATGAACATGACAGCCTGAAAACTGTAAAACTGGTGGCTCACGGATCCTCGGCTAGCTATGGTGACACTTCAAAAGCAAGAGTTTTGTGGATTTTGGATAAACAACCCCACCATCTCCAGAGATTTGAGGTCTCACCGCGCAGCCCCGTCATATTTTGCAAAATGTATAAGTGGGAGGAACAACTTGGCAACCTATGCATTCTGAAGATTGCAGTGGATGGACTGTCAGTAAATGATGTTAATGTTCTTGGAGGGTTGCCTGCCCTCACTGCTCTGTCGTTGTATGTGGAGAAGTCACCTGATATTAAGATAATCTTTGGCACGGCTGCAGGATTCACAGCTCTCAAGTACTTGAAGCTGAGGTTCATGAGTGGAATAGCTTGGCTAAAATTTGAGTCGGACGCAATGCCTAATCTCTGGAAGCTCAGGCTCGTTTTCAATTCCATCCCCCAAATGTACCAACGACTTGTCATTTATTCAGACTGTGACAAGATATTGAAACAATATCGACATGGTACTGCATTAATCAGCATCGAGCATATGACAGGCCTTAGAGAGGTCTCCGCAAAATTTGGGGGTGCAGCTGCTGATCTAGAGTATGTCTCGAGGATGGGCATAGTTAGTAATCATCCGAGCAATCCTATAATTGACGTGCAACTGGTGGATTCTGGTTCCCATGGTGATAAAAGGTAGTGCCAGCGCCGAGCTACATGGTTGTTGTAACTCTTCAATTCTTCTACCTAAATTAACTGATCATGGTTGTTGTAATCTGCAGGATATCAGCAAGGTCACCGGAGTCCACTTCCTGCCCGATGGATGTTCCACTTCCAGGTATACTTTTCTGACAGAGACAATTTGCCATCAGGCTTCAGGTGATAAGTTGTTACCCGTCAATTAATTTGTCGAGTTTTGTCAGGGGCGGGAGCTGATGGTAGTGGAGAGGTCTCGTGGAGCAATACCATTGGTGTGATCGGTCGTGACCTCTTCATCTATTGCCTCCACCGCCTCTCCAGGTGGGAATATGGCGCCATCGCCTCCCTCAACCGTGATTTCAATTCCGTGGTTCGCAACGGGGACATCTACCGCCTGCGTCGCAAGAATGGGGTCGCAGAGCATTGGATCTACCTCTCTTGCTATAAGAATCCTCCGGAGTGGGAGGCTTATGACCCGTCCACTGGGCGCTGGATCCAAGTGCCCAAGATGCCACCGGCTCAAAGCAAATTCATCTGGGAGTCGGTCGCTGTTGGAACCGAGCTGCTGGTGTTTGGGGACCGCGGAAGGGTTGCCTTGAGATATAGCATCCTTACCAATTCATGGACATGGCTGGCTGATGGGATGAACACCCCGCGGTGCTTCTTTGGGTCAGCGAGTGTCGGTGAAAAGGCGTATGTCGCGGGAGGCGCTGATTCTTCTCGTAATGTATTGAGCTCCGCAGAGATGTACGACTCGGAGACACACACTTGGACACCCCTTCCCAGCATGAATAGGGCTAGGTACGGATGCTCTGGTGTGTTCATGGATGGCAGGTTCTATGTGATCGGTGGTAATAGCAGTAGTCACAAGGTATTGACATGCGGTGAGGAGTATGACTTGAACCGGCGGTCATGGAGGGTCATCGACAACATGTCTCAGGGCCTCAACGAGACAGACGAGGGAGCTTCTCTGCTCCTTGCAGTTGTGAACAATGAGCTTTATGCCGCTGATTACGAGAAGAATAATGAATTGAAGCAGTATGATAAGCTGGACAACAAGTGGATCACTCTTGGGAAATTGCCTGTACACTCTAAGGACAAATATGGCAGGGACATGGGTTTCCGAGCGTGTGGTGACCGGCTGATTGTTATTGGGCCACCGAGCGTGTGGTGGTTGAGCTTCATTCATGGATCCCGGATGGGCAACCGCCTGTGTGGAATTTGTTTGCCACACGGCCATACGGGGACCACCAAATTCTGTGTGCCGTGATGGCTTGCTGAGACGGTCAACTGAATAAAGGTTGGATGCATTCAAGATATGAGTAAGTTACCTACCTTGTCCTTGCTTTGTACTATAATTTTTACTTTATTCAAGATATGAGTAAGTTTGCTCCATGAATTGACTGACAGAGTTTCCGTTCATATTTCCATGCAGTGCGGGCTGTGTCTCATTCTCAGTCTGAATTTCCTAGGAGCACTCCGCTGATGATGATATAAAAAGAGAAGACATGAATGAGTTCCAGAGAAAGTGCCTGCAGAAACATCCGAGTTTTTAGTCACTAGATGTTATTTCCAGTTGTAATTTGTGTTCCAATAATGTTTTGATGCTTTCTACGGTCTTCATCTCCATCACCCAGCTTTATTTGTTCAGTAAAACAGAGCTCTCAGTTACTTTTCGAACATCGAATTCAGTCTCTAGCTTGCCCTATTTTTTTGTTCAAGATTTTTCAAACTCTGAATAAAAAGCAATTTGGACCCGATGATATTCAGTCAGCTGTTCTGAAATGTATTTACTCGTAGTTTGGTATAGATTAATTTTCTCTAGCAGTGTGAAATCATGATTTTTCTTTCAAATTGTTTATTGTTTTAGATGAAATTATTTATTTCTTGAGAGTCGTAACCTTCAACCGAAAATAAAGGAAAGGATGAACATGTTTTTCCTTCTTTTACTGCACTTGCAATACTCGTGTTCTGTCTGACATTAGCTAGTGGCTTTGGTTCAGTTTACTTAACGCAACCATATCATACACGGGTAAAAAGCAAGTCACATCACAGACATTGTTGCCGGAAGAATTCAGCAACATTTTGGTTTAATACATAGGAGTACAAACATACATACATAGGTGCCCTTACTAAAACAACTACGTATGTTACTGACCCAGATTATAGTACAACTACAACAACCCGGCAAAAGCTAACTGATATTTTTTGCTACAAGATTAACCAAAGTGACCAGGAACCAACAGACAAAAGGAAGGAAGGCTAGCTGCAAATGTTTCAATCTTCTTCAAACAAAGTTATACATCGGCTAACAAATCTCAACATCAAGGAGTGCCCGCCCGATCTGCTTGAAATTGGTAAGATCTAAATGAATGCCAAATAAATTTTCTCTGGGTCACCATCCTCCAATCAAAGACAACCCCAGATAATGTCAGCAACACAACACAGAAGAAGAAAATGCATTTAACAACTAGCATAAACAACACCTCATTTTGTCTATTGGTTCGTCTTGTAGTTACACCTCATAACTGATACCCTCCAATCAAAGACGATCCCTTGTAGTTACATTCTCATTCTTCTCCCAGTAAGTTTCCACCAGATGAATGACCAGTAACAAAAGTACAAAAAAATGGCTCCAACTTAATGACACCAGCTCAAAAATGGGACGCACGCTCTCAGCTCGCTTCAAGGCTAACTAAAACCCTGGTAAAGCCGAGAGGTCGGCTATCCCCTTCGTCAAACTCGCAACCTTTTGTAGTAGTGCCAGCCGGTTGTTGCGGATCTTCTCATCTTCCTGTCCAATGGGTCATCACGAGATACAAACAAAGGTTAATCAGCAAAGTCACATGTCCATATATACACGGTCAAACGGTAAAATGAAATGAATCGCAATAGATCTGGAAAACAAAGATTTTCTACTCTCACCGCCATGACAAAAACATTGTTGAAGAAATCTTCCAGAGGCTGTATCAAAAGCAGGGAGGCCTCGATGAAGGTTTTGACGTCAACACCTGCGAGAGCGGTGAACAGAATAGCGCAGAGGTGAGCTGTATGAACTGTGGACCTGATACATGTCGCTTTGAGAAATGAAGATAGTCTTCTGTTACCAGGATGGATCTTGTCGACAGCCTCCAAATAGGCGCTCCACAAGGCTTTTTCTTCGTCCTTCTATAATACGCTTGTGTCAACCTACATATTGCATTCATGGTGAGGCAGGTCGTCCATAATGCTACAACGGCAAGGTTAGTTCAATTTCAAGCTGCGCTCTGAGATTGTTACTCAATTGTGATGGCACGTGTCTACGTAAAAACAGCCAGTACCTCCCAAGCAGACTCGAGTTGCTTCCCACTTATAATTCGAACTGGCCTAGAATACGCCTCAACGATTTTTGGGAAATCTTCAGTTCTTGAGAATGCTTCCATCTTCAAGTTTCCACATAGCAAGACCATCACCACAAACCCAGGATGCTTCCATAAATTTCAGCAGAGGTGCTAAGCACATAAAACTTGAAATCTATAATTTCTTACTTCAGCTGCTGTTTGTGATGCCAGATAAGGGCAGTTCGCACGCTCCATAAGCACCGACCGAACTATTTCATAGTTAATTCCCTCATCCACCTGATGAAAAATGGGGAACCAACGAGTCATTTCAAAAGGACATGAAATTTACTCACATATAGTCTATGTACTCCATCTGAACTAAAACCACAACAAGAATTATGGAACGGAGGGGGTATCTTATATTTCTTTTCTCGATACATCCCAAGAGGGTAGAATACAAGAATCTTGGAGAAGAACAGCCTTATGCGTAATAAGTAATAACTCTATTGTCATTACAGGTCAAGGAGATACATACCAAAAGTTGTTCCAGTCTGCGTGTTACAAATTGCACTACCTAAGAATAAATTTGATCAGAGTTGTCAAAAACCATGTACTCATATGAACATAGTAACACAGTGATGATCTGAAATATATACTGACCTCATTTATAACGTCATTGTCTATTCTTATAGGCTGCACCTGTGCCGCCAAGGTCAAGGCCTTTGTGAGGTCAAAGTTCTTCTTATTCTCAACCAATATTTGAACCTGTATAAAATATATTATCAACTAATACTTGGACCTGTATAAAAATATTATATATTTAATGATATTTGCAGTTTCAGATCCCCTTACCAATCCATAAGAGATCCTTCTCAGTCCAAATGGATCGTTCCAAGAACTTGGCTGACATCCAGCTCCGAACAGACCCACTAGGCTGTCCAATCTGTGAAAAAAATCATTAGCAGAAGCAAGGTTCTCTGCACATCATAGTTCTAAATAGTGGGCTATGCCTCTTAGCAGCGGACCTCTTCTAAACGTTATAGCGATGCTATAGCGCGCTATTTGAATGTTTGTTCATGTGTTTGGACCAAAGTCGCTAAACCCGCTATTTAAAACCATTTCTAGGCGAATATAGCGACATTTTATTGTATTTTCAGTTTAGCATCTGCTTAACGATGGCAATATATGTGCAGGAAGTACCTATCAGCAACCGCAAGGACTATACCAGCATCTGTTTTTGGGAAAACATCGCCAGAGAACCTTGGAAGTGTTATCTCAAACAGTGCTTCTGCAATATTTGACATGAAAATTTACTCAGCTTAAGAGTTGGCAACAAATGTACCTCTTCTGGAAGACCATCCCTTGAAGCATAGTGGCGTGCCATAATTCCAGCGAGTGAAGTAAATTCTGTAACAATGGAAGTGGCAAGATCTGACATAGCCAATGCAGCTGCATCTTTGACAACTGGGATCATCCCCTCCTTTATCCCGAGAACAAGGGTCAGCTCTCCAACAACATTTTCAGCACGTGCCATTTTGTCGAGCATCGTACCAAGTGTTTCCTTTTCAATGAGATGCAGATAAAATAATAATAAGCAGAACACAAGAATGTACTGAACAATATTCTACTACCTCTAGCATGCAGATCAGCACACCTTGATGTATACTTATATCAATAGACGAAGAGTGTTTCGCAGAATCCAAATACTAAACATGTTCCAAAAATGACGTGCAGCCTGCCAAGCAAAAGGCTCAGATTGGTGAACGAAATCTGAACAATTATCAGACAGAAGGAATCCTTGAGCAGAAAATTCAGACTTCCAGAGGAGGCCCAGGCAGAAAGCATGATGAGCCAAACCGAGTGTGCTTGTTTCGACGGTGAACAATCCACAATAGGAATGTTGACCATGAACTGTCCGTCCGGCATCCTGGACGGCTTACCTGCAGGCGATCCCTTCATTATGTCTATCTGGGCCTGGATTGCAAACTCTGTTAAGCTCCAGCGACTTCATCTTCGTTCCAACCTCGACTCAGACTCTAGTTATCAGCGAGATTTGTGGAGGCAGAAGTCAGCAGGCAAAGATGGACATTCAGAACTGAATCAACTGATGGCATATATAGATACAGACTGCAATTGTGCTTCCTCTGCGTTGCTCTGCTATTTGAATCCTAAATACTTGCATGTGGCTTCCTCTGCTTTTGCTCTGCTTTCTTGACTCTGAATACCTGGCTGTAACTTGAGGTTTCAGGTGTCAGGTCGACCTAGGGCCCGACAATCTTCCTCCTTCCGACCACAGCACCGATGGAGATGCTGCCTTCTCACGTCACGTTACTGGCGGCTGATAACTCTCTTTTCGTTAGCAAGGAGAACACACACCAGACTTTATGGTATTTAGATACTCGATCTACGAAGCCGAATCTACTGCGTCAGGAATCCTAAGCCGCCACAGACCCAACACTTACATATTAAGCCGCAATGACCCCACTTGAGCTCTGGGACGGGATGTCCCTGACGCCGGGCAACCTCCGCCGTCGCCGCCGGCATCTCGAGACCCTCGGGTGGGTCTTGTTGTAGTAAGTCAAGTGGCGTGACTCGAAGGGCGATGGCTCATGGTTGGACTCGGAGCCGTCTCAGTCGAGTCTGTCCCACTCATGGGAAAATAAATATATTGGAGATTACTTCTTGAGTGTGACACCACTACTTAACCACTTATCAGTTTGCACCCTGTTTCTAAATACTTGTAGAGTGTGACTAAGCGCACACTGAACATCAATTTCTAAAGTTGTAGGTTGTTTTTCTAAATACTTGTAGAGTGTGACTAAGCGCACCCTGTTTACAAATACTTGTAGAGTGTGACTAAGCGCACACTGAACATCAATTTCTAAAGTTGTAGGTTGTTTTTCTAAATACTTGTAGAGTGTGACTAAGCGCACCCTGTTTCCAAATACTT